TGGTCAATGTCGCGGGCGCTGCGCACCGAGATCTGCAGCGTGCCCGACAGCGGCTTGCGCAGGTTCTGCCGCCGGTCCTCGAGCGAGTCGGGCAGGCCGTTACCGCCGCTGCCGTCGTCGTCGTCCTCCATGACGTGGAGCTGCTTGTACCGCTTGAGCGCCTGCTGCAGCAGCACAATCTTGCTGGCGCTCTCGACGCGCTTCGACTCGGCGTCGTTTTTGCTCTTGCGGTCGCCCTCGGCCTGGTACAGCTTGGCCATCTTGTCGATGCCCATCTTGTACTGCTTCTCGATCTGCAGCTTGAACTCGAGCTGGTGCAGCATGCGCGAGATCTTGGCAGTCGTGTGCGGCGTGTCGTACTTGATGAGGTCTGCGAGTCGTAAGCCGAGGAGCGGCAGAGAGAACAGGGGCATCGCGCTCGGAGGTCGGTCAGCCTTCGGATCACGGCGCAGTCGGTCATCCTCTCCTGCCCCCCGCGCATGGCATCGGACCGGCGGCAGCGTCCGGCTCTCTGCTGCGCGCTACTCACCCAGGTTCGTGTACTGCTTCCTCGCGCTCGTCCCCATCCTCTGCATGGCAGGCTGCCACGCCTCCGATCCGCCCTGGCCGTACCCGCCTCCTGCTGCAGCACCCCCGGGGCCGCCGCCATAGGGCCCCTGGCCGGCGTACTGCGAGTACGACCCTCCGTCTGGCCCACCGGCGCCCATGTCCGCGCCGGACGGAGGCTGGGTCCTGCCGTCGTACCGCCGCGCCGAGACGCTGGGCGACGAGGGGTTGGACGATCCCCGGTACGACGAGCTGCTGTCGCCGGGGTAGGGCCGGCCGCCCGAGACGGAGCTGGCGAGCGTGGTCTTTGAGGATCCGAAGCTCTGCTGGCTGGTGGCGGGGTTGGTGCTGCCCGCGGTGCTGGCGGGGCTGTCGGTACGAGCGCCGAGCGCCATGCCGCCGCTGGCCCGTCGCGTCTTGAGGCTCTGAAGGCTTTCCTCGAGATACGAGATGTTCCTCTGGGCCTCGCGGATCTGAGACTCGGCCTGGCGGATGACGTCCGGGTTGTTGGTGGCGCCGCGCAAGGCCTGGTTACCCTCCATGATCCGACGCTGGGTCTGGATCCGGGCGTAGACCTCGGCCACCTTGGTCTCGGTCGGGTCCTGCGCCAAGAGGCATCGCGGGGAAGAGGGGGCGGAAGGGTGGGGTCGCACAAGGTCGGGTGTCAGCATGCTGGAGGTGCGCGCTCACCTTCCGCCTGCGGGAGGCTGGGCGGTACTCACTGCCATCTTGTCTTGTTTCGGTCGAGTCTGGCGAGCGAACCGGGTCGAGTCTAGGCTAGATGGAGCGCGTGGGAGAGCACGCGTCTAGGCGGCGACGGATGTACGCTCAGGGATCGGCTTGCCGATCAATGTGGCTTCGAGGTGCGTGCGAGCAACGCGATAAGTCGGGCCGGCGAGGTGTCTGGCGGCGTTGTAGGAGCGCCTGCAGATGGCAGCGAGCGAGCGATTGGAACGAGTGCACCTGCTGGTGCCAGCTTCTCGTTGGCGGCCGTCCAACAAGGAAGAGAGTCGGTTGTTGCCTTTGCCACACCAGGCTGGAGACCTGTGCCTGGCAGAGGTCGGGTTCACTGGTGCGCTAATCAGCTCTGACCGACGGCGGCTGGTGTCACCTGTTGGCCAAGGGTGCCAGGCAGCGTGGTGTTGGTCGTGGCGGTCAGTCGGCGGACTTGGCTTCGAGAGCGGGCGCCGAAGCTTGGTGTCCTGGAAGCGACGACAGCAGCGGCGCGATGCAGCCGGCAGTCGCCAATCGTCGACGCAGCAAGAGTAGGGGCGGATGAGGTTGTCGAAGATGGCTCGATCTGGTGGAGCCCTGGTTGTGATCGTCGGCGGCGACGGTGCAGGCAAGAAGCGCACGAGGAGAGGTCGACAAGGAGATGGGCGGCGTGACCGCGGGTTGGGATAATGGATGGTGCTGGGTATGATGGTGATCGCTGCCGTCGACTTGGCTGGGCTGGTGGATGGTCGGGTTGGTTGGGTTGGTTGGCAGCCGCGCGGAGTGGCCCTGGCCCTGGCCCTGGCTTGCTTGCTTGCTTGCTCGCCCTGCTTGGGGTCGGTCGGGGGTGGGTCGGTTGGTTTGGCGGTGGATCGCCCGGTCGGTGCGCTGACCCGTCGGTCGCTCGCTCGCTCGTCTCGCTCCCCCCAAATCCGCCTGGCTGGCTGGCCTGTCCGTTCACAGGCCCGGCCGGTGCGTGCGCGAGGCGGGGCGGGGCGGGGCGGGGCGGGGCGGGGCCGCGCTGGGCGTGCGAGCGAGCACCGCCTCCTGAGCCAGCAGCAGCATCCGAGGGCACAGCAGCGAAAAAGGGGGTGCGCCGGCCTCGCCCGCCCTCTGCTGGCCTGCTGGGCGGGCCTAGGCTGCCCTTTTCTCGGCCTGATGACGGGATGGCAGGCGCGCACGGTCCACGCCAAGGATGCCTGCCTCCCGCCCTCGCCCTCCTTGCTGGTAGGCTGGCGACCTCTCTTCCCAGCGCGAAGCCATCTCGACGGACATCTCGCTCTTCCACCACCACCACCTGCGCCCTCCATCGCACCTTCTTGCCCGACAGCATTCCCGGCTTCGCGCACCAAGCGGGGTCAAGAGGGGAAATGCCACATAGTATTACACAGTTGAGGTGACCGAGGCGGGCGCAGCGGGCCAAGGAGAGGGTATGCAGGATGCTCGGGAGGGTGGACTACAGGAGGGCGGGTGGGAGAGACACAAGGAGAAGAAGCGCACGACGAGGATGGTTCAGGGTCGAGAAGGAGGGGAGAAGGGGGGAAAAGAGGAAGGCTCGGCCGCTGGCTTGGTCCGAACTGGAGCAAGGGCCGCCCTTCGACTCAACGGCGATGGCGGTTGCAGTGGGCAGCTGGTGGCGCGGCGGACCGGGGCGGATGCGCAGTCGACTGTTGAAAGTCGTCGCCTTCAACGCTTGCCGGTCCACACGGCAGCAGAACGGAAGCGTTCGCTGCGGCCCACACGATGGCCTGCCCAGGCCGGCTCAGCGGCTCTTGCGCGGCGTGGCCGAGTGGGAGCGGGTGCCGGCGGCGGGGCCGTCGACGCTCTGCGCCTCGTCGCGCTCCTTGGCCGCCTTCTTCTGCTTGGCAGCCAGCGCGTAAATGTTGTTGGTGAACGGCTCCTCGTAGCGCAGCGCGATCGAGTAGACGACGACGACGAGGACGCTGAGGATGAGGCCGGCGGGCTTGCCGAACCTGCACGGACGATCGGCGTGGCAGACAAGAGGAAGAGCCGAGAACGACGACGGTCAGCGGGAACAGGTCTAGGGGGGGCCGAGGCAGGCAGACGATCTCCGGACAGGCAGCACCGCCAAGCCGGCGATGGCGAGCGGCGAGCGGCGATTGACTCACCAGAGGGCGACGGCGACAAAGCTCATCGAGGAGCCCCAGTACATGGGGTTGCTCATGGTGTTGAAGGGGAAGCCGGTGACCATGTGGTCCATGAGGATGCCAAAGTAGTCTCCGAGGTAGGTGCCCGTCACGCCGAGGGCCCACATGGAGCTGAGGACAAAGACGTTGCCCGAGAGGAAGAGGCCGGCGGCGAGGGGCTTGACGGCGGGGTGGAGCAGCAGCGGGTGGGTGGGCTGGTCCTTGAGGGCGACATTGTAGCTGCGAGCGGCCGAGGGAGAGGGGGCGAGAGGGAGAGCCGCAGAGGCAGGGGGAGGAGGAGGAGGTCCAGGACGAGGACGGATGAGCCGACGTGGGTGCGATGGCAGCGGGTCGGAAGGGCGCCACCCCAACGGAAAGAAGCCGGCTCTGCTCACAGGTGGTCGCGGATGATGCCGAGCGAAAAGATGCTGACGGCGAGCAGGTAGCAGCCGAGGTATCGGCGGCCTCCGAGAATCTTGGTGATGGTCTTGTTGTGGTACTCTGCGAGGAGGGTGCCAAACGAGATGAGGCAGGGGTAGCGGGTCAGTCGAGTATCCTCGAGGGCACGGGCAAGGCGCCTCGACGGCCGCTGCAAAGCTGCTCGCGTCGTCGCGCCGGCAAGCTCACCGTTCTGGGCGACAATGTTCCAGTAGAGCGGGTTGAAGCAGATCGAGGCGGTGGCAATCCAGAACGACTTCTGCGAGAGGTCGACGACGCCCTTGACGAGGTACGGGTTGCTGGGCTGCGAAAAGAGGTGCGACATCCTGGACAGCTGCTGCGACGACGGTGGGTGAGAGGAGGCGAGGAAGAAGGCGCGAGCAACGACAGGTCGGACTGCCACGGAAAGGGAAGCAAGCAAGGGCGAGCGAGGGGTCGAGGAGCAGGGCACGAAGAGGGAGGGGGCGCTGCTGAGTGATGGGTGACGGGGGGGACGGATGGCGGTGGAAGAAAAGCTGCTGGGCGGCAGGCATGGATGGCCCTGGCCTGTTCGTCGGTCGACGAGCGGACGGGGCCATGCCGATCCACGCCCGCGGCCGGCAACATTCCGACACGGACGTCTTGCTTGCTTCTTCTTGGGGGCCCCCCACGCCTTTGGGCGTTTCACGCTCTCGCCAGCGCCGCCGCACCGCCCGCCGCCCTGCCTGCTTGTTTCGGACATCTGCAATCGTAATCCCTCTGCCTCCCCTTCCCCTCCTTGCCCTTCATCTCCTCCATCATCACCCGCTTCGCTGTCCTTGCCATCGACAGTGCCGCCCCCTCCGCTGCGACGCCCGCTCGATGGCCGCCTCAGGCGCTGCTCCCGAATCTTGTCGGCTCTCTATGGCACCCTCCGTTCGTGTGTCTCCGCCCGCGCAGGCAGATCCTCCCGGCGTCTTTTTGCCCACTCGCGCAGGCTGCACCTGATCTCTTCCAATCGACAGTCAGTCGCCGCCGGGCCGTCGCGTCGAGCCTGCATCGAGCGCGCCGCCAGAGCCATGAATAGCGTACGCAGCCATCCTCGGCCTCCGTTCGACCTCCGCTGCGAGGCGTCCTACATCATCCTCCGGCCCGGCGACACACGACCCGCCCGGAGCGATGCGCTTGGAGCCGACGACACCCGCCTGGTCGATGGGCAGCTGCCGCTGCGCATCACGGCGTCAGAGTCAACCTCGCTGCTCCCTGGAGCAGGAGCCTCGCGGGCCGAGCTCGACGTGGCCGCCCTGTCCGGCCTCGAGGAGGGCGTGTCGGCGTTCCTGCAACAGGTGAATCCGCACATCGGCCCCTCTCGGTCACCTTGGTGCACGACATAGCACTGGCGGCCAAGCGCGCGCGAGGTGGCGAGCCGGCGCTGATGGGACCACGATTTTTCTGCCTGCCGCTGCCGCTGCCTCAGCACCTCGACCTTCTTTGCCTTCGCTCCTGCTGCAGAGAAGCTCGTTCAGCTGTCGCAGACCCGGACGCCTCGGATGTGCGCCGGCCAGAACGATCTGCTTTGCTCTGTGGGCTCTGTCGCGGTGCTCGCAAAGATCCTACCCAGCTCGTGCTGAAGCGCTGACGCACTGTCTTGACCTCCTTGGACTCGATCGTCCAGACCGCCTGGAGTCTGCGCATCCCCTTCTCGCCCCTCTGCCACCCTCAACGTCAAAGGAAGCCGGGCTGCTTGAGCTGGAGCTGCATCTGATCTGGTCGCGTCCTGCGACAAGGTCTGCCAGGTCAGGGCCTGACCTTTGGCGGCTCTTGTCGGCCTCGCCACTACCTCGGACGCTGTCCGATCAGCTGGACCGCGAGCTGGCCGCTTCGATCCATAAGCACCTGGTCGAGCCGCTCGGTCACGTCTTCTGCGGGCCGTACATCGAGGTGAGCTTGGATCCTTGCCATCCATGTCGGTCTGGTCCCTCGCTCCCGAGGTCTGGCCAACATGGCCTCGATCTGACGTTTGCGCATCGGGCCTCCTTCATTCTGTCGCGCCTTGTAGCGGAAGCGACAGGTCGAGCCTTGGATCGACTCGCTGGCCATGTCGCTGTCGAAGATGCTCGAGATGCCAGGGGCTGCCGAACGCCCAGGTCCCTTTCTGGACCGCGGCCATGGATCCAAGCCCCTCCGCCAGGACCTGGTACGACTGGACGAGGCTTGCCTGCCGCCGGCCGCGTTCAAGGCGAGTGGCGCCAGCATCCCCGGAGCCAGAAGCGGGCTGGCCAGCTGCGAGGGCTGACTGGACGACTGCATCGATCGCGCACTCCCGCTCCCACCAGGCTTCCTTCTTTGCATCGCGCGGGAAAGGTTCCGCCGTCGCGATTGGGACGATGAGCCTGGACGAGGACGTCGCCGACCTGCTGGAGTTTCTGCAGACCTCGCAGGAATTGCCAGACAAAGAGGAGGCTCTCCTCGGCTTCGGCAGCAGCGATTGCAGCGACGACGACGACGAGGAGCTCTGGGCCGAGGACATCGACTGTCTCCTCGACACTGCTGCTTCCTACCAGCGCGCTCACCGAGGCGTCTGCCAGCCGGGACACACGACGTGGCAGCATCAGGCGCCAGACGAAGACTTTCCGGTTCTTTGCCCGTCGCCGCTCGCGATGCAGTCTCACCTCCAAGCTCATGGCGCCGGGACGCCGATTGGGAGGCCAGATCACGCACCTAGCCTGCAACTAGGACTAGGGGAGCGCACAGACGCGCTGGGAAGCTCGACGCGGGCGCATCGCTGGTCCTCCTCCTTCGATCCCATCATCGACGTCGAGATGCCCAGCGCGCGGGAGCCATCGCTCAAGACCCTGAAGCGGCACCGAGACGCCGAGGCCGAGGCACGGACACCGTACGGGCCCGAGGGGTGCGCGCGACTCCGGCTGACGCAGGGGAACGCCTGGCCGTGAGAGGCGCCCAGATGGCGACGCACGCGGCCTCGTTCTCGAGTGGCGGCCAATCCCGCACTGGCTCGGTCTAAAAAAGTGGCCGCACATATCCGCCGCAAAGCGACGATGGACCTCTGGGGTTGTTGACCTTGATGCGTCGGGCACCATCGCGCCTCGGGTGCGTGGTACCGTTTCACAGAACCGGTCAGGGCATTCATCGAGGCCCCATTTGCCGACCTATCGGCATCGTGGGTACGACGCCTCTGCGTATGCGCCCCCATCCTTGACTTGCGGGGTGCGGCTACCGCTCGGTCCCGACGATAGCATCCCGAAGCGCGTCCAACCCGCACGGGAGAAGGCGGAAGGGTAGGGCGCGTGCGAGGACAACAGGTGGCGGTGGTCGCACGAAACTTTGGGCCTCAGCACGGACGGGGAACCTTGATATCTGTCTTGCCATCTTTTTGTCTCCTTTGATGCAGTGGAGGAGATGGCGTTGTCTGCGAGCCCGCATTGTGCCCGCGACCGGCGTAGAGGAAGCTGCGCTGCAAGTGGTTCAGAGGGGGACAAAGCAAACGACGAGCAGAGACTATGCGTTGACCCGCCCCCCGCGGAGCCAGGAGGAAACGGCATCGAGGAAACAGTCAATATCTCTCGATGCCGACGAGGATGGGGGTTCAGAGGGGACACTACTCACGGGTAGACCGCACGCTGCAATCTTCATCTTGAAAACGCCACGCGTCTTTCGTATCCCCTTCTACCCGATCCGATGGTGGTGCCGGTGTCGGCGCAGCAACGGCCAACAGAAGGACGAGGCGGAGAGGGTCAGGATGGAGTGAGGGACGAGAGCGGAAATGCAAGGGTTCGGTCGGGTCGGGTCGGGTCGGGTCGGGTCGAGGTGCTCATCAGCAAATGCTATCCTCGTCTGCTTGGTCGTTCAAGAAGGGGGCGGAGCATGGCGTCGCGCGCGGGGGGGTGGACTCACGCTACCGTCCTGGTTGTGTACGAGGATCTCGGCGTCCCAGTAGAGCGGGTCCTCTTCCCCCTCGGCCTTGCCCTTGCCCACGCCCTCGTCCTTGGCCTTCCTCGTGCACACGCCCTCAGTCTGCCCCTCTTCCTCTGCCTCCCCCTGACCTTGGCCACCCTGACGTTGATGGAGACCGACGACCTCCTGGTGACTCTCGACGGCCTCCTCGTACAGCCTGAAAAACTCGGCCGCCGAGTGCTCGGTCATGAGCTGGTAGCAGCTCACCCTGCCCTCCTCGAGGTCGGCCTTGGCCCGCCCAAAGAGGTTCTGGGCGATGCGGTTGGACGCGTACACCTCGCCCGCCTTGCGGCACACGAGCATGGCGACGGGCGAAAAGGGGAGCACCGACTCGGTATAGTAGCGCACGTTGCCCGCCCACTCGGCGTGCAGCTGGATGAGCGTCGGCGGCTGGATGGCGTCCTCGACCTCGAACCACAGCTTGCGCACCTTGGACAGCGCCGCTTCGACTGACCGGATCGACGTGGCCGACCAGCGCTGCTCGGTCATGTAGCGCATCAGCGAGGCGTACCCCTTGCGGTATGGGTAGGGCGAGTAGACGCTCGACGGTGGAGCGCTCTTGCTCATCCGTCGCGCCGAGGAGCGCTGCTCGGATGTCGGATCGAACTGGGCGGCCGACCGTGGGAGAGGCAGGCATGGGACAAGCCAAGCGGGGTGGCAGATTCTTGTTCAGCAAATAGCAGGCCGAGACGGCAGCGCTGCGGCTAGAGACGCTCCAAGGACTTACCCCTGCTGTCTGGGTGTAGGCCGACGACGCGGGAGCCTGCGTGTCCCTGTCTCTGCCGTGCGCTGCCGGTGCGACTTTGGCGAGTGTAAGTGGAGCGGCAGCGGGTGGTTGCAGCTGGTGGACCGGGGCCAGCCGAGCGTGCTGCCATGCCTCTTCGCTCGTTGGCGGCCCATCGTTGAGGATGGCATGCCCGTTCAGAGGTGGCTGATGCATCGGCGCGCCCGGCGCAAGCGATGTCGATGGCGGCAGCGGCGGCGGCTGCGGCGCGCCCGAGGAAGCGGCAGCCATCGACGAGCCCGAGGCGTAGGGTTGCGTTAGGTCGAAAAAGTACGACGAGAAGAGCGAGTCGAGCTCGGCGGAGCTAGGGGGCTGGAAGATGGGCTGCTCGCTCAGTACCGCCGAAGCCACCTCGCGCGAGGTCGGTTCGGGGTGCGGCGCCGTTTCTGTCGCTGCGGTCGAGCCGGGAGGCATCGACTGGTGCGGATGCGATGGGGGATGCGGTTGCGGGTGCTGCATCTGTGGCTGCGGCTGCGGCTGCGGATGGGAAGGCACGGCAAAGCCGCGCTGCTGGTCATCGAGCAAAGGCGTCGAGTTGCCAGACGGATATAGGTCGGACGAGGTCTCGCTGTAGCTGGCCGAGGGCGCCGCCGAGGTAGAGGCGGCGCCGCCGGGGTGGTGGGGTGAGAGACGCCACTGCCGATGCTGCTGTTGGAGCTGGTGCTGCTGGGTTTGCTGTTGTTGCCGTGGTCGCTTGTACCGTTGCTGCTCCTGGCGCTGATGCTGTGGCTGCTGCTGCTGGGTGACCTCTTGGGCGGGATGGAAGCTGGCCTCTATGGGCGGGCCACGGGTCCAGGCGGCCTCGTTGGCGGAGGATTCGGTGCATCGATCTGCGATTCCCCTCTTGACGCTGTCAGACGAGGGGAGCCCAAGGTTGGCGGGGAGAGATCAAGAGGGGTCAGCTCGAGCGCCAGTTGGTTGGCTTGGCATGGACAGGAGGGAAGGGGGCGAAACCCACCACCTCGAGCAAGGCCTGGCCTCTTCGCAGACGAGGTGGCTGCGGCGGCAGTAGACGCAGGCCTGCCTGAGCTTCCTCTTTCGCTTGATTCCTGCGCCTTGGGCTGTGGCGCTGGTCGCCTCTGGGTTTCGCCCGTCGAGGTGTCCTGCCGCCGGTGCCAGGACGGCAGAGTCGTGCGCGAGAGATGGAGCGCCGCTAACACCAGGTGGTTTGTTGTCGTACGTGTCGCCGTCGAGGCTGTTTGAGGCTGTGCGGGCGTGGAGGAGCTCGTAGTCGTCGATGAGGTAGTTTGGGAGGGTCCTGCGGTGCGGGGGAGCCTCGATGGTTGGCGGCGAGGGGCGTGCTGTGGTGTCGTGGGCCATGGCGAGGCACGAGGGCTGCTGGGGTAGGTTGTTGGCCATGTTTGACAGCGGCGGCGGTGGGGTGGGTGCGAAGGAGAAGGAAGGAGTGGGAGCCGGTGGTGGTGGTGCTAGAGCGGGCCAAGGAGGCAGATGAGGGTGACGAAGGGCGGGTGGCGGGTGGCGAGGCCGCAAGCAGCGACGAGCCGACGGCGACGACGAAGACGACGAGGGCGCAAGCAAACGTTGACGGGGTATGGAAAACGACGAGGCGATGAAGAAAGAGAAGAAGGACGAGGACGAGGACGAGGAGCAGAGACGAGGTCGGCGGTGGGTACGTACACCACCGAGACCGGCGGGCAGCGCCTCGACGACGACGACAAAGAGCGACCTCAGCTCACCTCACCTCACCTCGCCGGGCGCAGCCGCGGGGGCCAAAAGGAAAAGCAAACAAAAAAAAGTCGGATTCACCTCCACACACGCTCTCGCTCAGCAGCCAGCCAGCCAGCCAGCCAGGCATGCAGGCGGCATCCCGCCGCCTTTCAAACGACAAAAGCGGGCCACCACCACCAGCTGCACCCTGCACGCGCGCCTGCCAGATTTCAGCCACGGCCCACGGCCCACGACCCTGGCTCGCCCACCCCCTCCAACCCGGTCGGCCAAGGCCCCGCCAGCCCGGCTCAGCCACCTCGCATCGTCATCCGGCTACACGACACGCTGCCCGCTCCCCTCGAACTCGTCGTACCGTATCACGTACGTAACACGACCCACCCACCGACCGACCGACCGACCTTTTCCTAGCCTTCAACCGCCTCGTCCAAGCAAGACGGCGACGGCTGTAGCAGCCGCACACGCTCCTCCGGCCTCGCTCCATGTTCCTTTTCTCCCGAGCGCCGCCAAACCCCGACGCGCCTCGCGCGCCGCACGCCCATGCTGACGGCGGCAGGCCTCCTCGATTGTCGGTGCTGAGCTACATACATACACACATACATACATAGCTGTACACCGTGCCACCGTGCAACCGTCGTCGCCATGTCTTTGGGAGCATCTCGTCGGCCCGCGGTAAAGCATGCAATCACAAATCACGTCCGCGTCTCGTCGGCGATGCGTCCTGTGTGAGATTCGTTGCCTGCCTCTTTGCTTCATCTTGTGTGGCGGCCGTTGCTCGCTACCTAGCACTCTTCGCGCCCGTCGGCCGCCTGCAACCGGGCACTCGTGCCGCCCCTCGCCCGTCTGCTACAGTACCCCTCGTCCGGCCGCCCCTCGCCCGTCTGCTACAGTACCCCTCGTCCGGCCGCCCCTCGGCCCGTCTGCTACAGTACCCCTCGTCCGGCCGCTCGCCTGCCATCTCCCGCTTTCGGGGCGCCCGCCTGCCGCCTGCAACGCTGTCCTCGTGGCGTCCCTCCCTCGCCGCCACTCTGTCCCCCGCAGCGCCCGCAGCGGCCCGCCAATGACGAGCAAGCCCTCTACCAGCCCCGCCAGCCGCAGACGCACGCGCGGCTCAAAGACGATGCCACGCCTTGCCCTCCCGTTCCACGTCCGGTGCGACCGTCGGACCGAGATGCCTTGCTCGCATCGACGACGGCTATCTTTCAGGCCTCCAATTCGTGGTGCCATTGCGCTTCCTTGGCCCGTCGTCGTTGTCCGCAGCTTCCCCCCTTTTCTTTTTTTTTTTTTTTTTTTTTTTTTTTTTCTTTTTTTTTCCTTTTTTCCCCCTTTCCACTTGGCTCCTCGTGTCGTCGGCAGGTGCTCCGGCATGCGCCCGGGCGGAACCATACCTGGAAGCGACACCCTGGCCTCGGTTTGCTGGGTGCCTACGAGCCAGCCGGGTCGACACCGCCAATACCCATTGATCTGTCTGCTTTGATAGCCTGCGATCAATGATCCAAAGGCCGTTGATTTATGGGTGTGACAGCTGCAGCGATCTCACTCTTCCCAGCCATCGGGTCCATCGCCCTCCTCGCTCACTGCCAGCGCGGCGCCTCCATCTTCATCGTACACGAGGCCGCACCCGTCGTGAAACGTGGGCTCCTCGACCTCCGCCCCATCCCCCGCCATCTGGGGCTTCTTGACAAGCGAAGCGACCTGCTCGGCCGCCTGGAACTGGCCGAGGAACGGAAAGACGGCGGCATCGCAGCCCCGGATACGCAGCGAGACGATGGGTGCATTGCCCTGCATGCAGTCCGTCGCGCTGCATGTCGTTGACTCCATCACCTTGACGTGGGACGAGATCGACTCGGCGCGTTTGAATGCCACCCCGGTGCCGAGATCGAAGAGCATCGTGAAGAGCGGCGCTCGCGCATCGGCATCATCCCTGGCACCCTGCCGCGCATCGGTTGCCGAAAGCGGAACGATGCGGGGCCCGTGCAGGCAGTCTGTGCCCGAGAATGGGCTCGCCTTGTCCTTGGCCCGCCAGGCAATGTAGCTCATTTGCCCCGCCGCTTGGTCCTCGTCGTCGAGCGCGTCTTCGAGCGACCCGAGATAGACGGGGATCACGCCGTCGATCCCCGGCTGGCTCTCGTGGCATTGGAGCGCCAGCCCACGCTTCCAGCAATACCAGAGCAGGCGCGGACCAAACGCGTAGGCCTTGCTGGCAAGCCTGGCCATGTGCGTGAAGTTGAGCCAAGCAGCGCTGCCACCGGACTGCTCGCCACTTGGATCCATTTGCACCGAGCCAGCTGTCTCGAAGGCTTCTTGGCGGCTGTCGTCGTCCATGTTCTTGTCGGCACCGGAATTGCGCTCCGTTGCACCTCGCCTCTGGCACCGGAAGTCAATGAGTTGCTCGAGCTGTGCGAGCGCCGCATGACCGCAGGCGGGCCCCAACAAAGTCGGCAGAAAGGAGGCGAGGCTGATGGCAGGGACATGCTCCAGCTTGCCGTCGCTCTCGTGTTGCTCAGCGAAGGTCTTGCGAGCCTGAGTCAGCTCGTCGCATGCATCACGGGCCATCGTAAGGAGTAGTGGCACCGCAAACTCGCCCTCGACGCCCTTGAGGGCGATGGCAGAGTCGAGGGCCAAAGACTTGGCGAGCGTAGAGAGGACCTCGCTGTACCGCCACAGGGCCTCGTGGTCGGTCTCGTCGGACGTGAGAGCGACCCAGGCCGCCAGAGCAAGGAGCGGTTCGCTCGGAGCGGCTGTGACAATCTTTCCCGCGTCCAGGTTGGTGACGTACCGCATGTGGCGATCCACCGAGTCCCCGGCTAGCGCCCACGAAGCGTTGCCGTGCTCGAGGGGAAGGAGGTTGACGCAGACGCGTTGGAGAGGGCGGTGATGGCCCGGAGCTTCGGGTCGGTGTCCCTCGCCAGCTGACCATGGCAGAGCTTCTCAAGAGCGTCGAAGAGAACCTGTTCCGATTCGCAGCCGTCCCACAGCGGCCGGCCGTACCGCTTCAGAGCATCGAGTTGGAGCGCGTCCCTAGGCCTCGAGACGGTTTGGGGCGTCTGGACAAAGGTGTCGTGGCCGCGAAGCAGGCATGGGGGTAGCGCAAGCATCGTGGCCTCCCTATCCGACTTCTCGGTCCTCGACGAGGGGATCATGCCGCTGATGGAGCTTGAGGTGTCGAGCATGAGCAGCCAGAGGGCGACCTTGGCGCTGGCGAGCTTCTCCCCGATGAGTTGAACGCACCGACGCAGGTGGACCAGCTTGAGCTCTTTCTGCTCATCGATCTTCTCAAGCGGTGTACACCCGTCGACGGCAAGCAGCACCAGCGGTCGCTCCATTTTGAACTTCTTCAGGGATGCTTTGACTGCGGGGGTGCTCAAGAGCTGTTCGGCGAGTGCATCTAGCTCAGGTCTGATCAGGACCTTGACCATCCTGGCTGCCTCGTCGATGTCCGAGGTGAGCGCTTCCGATGCGTGCGCGTCGCGGTACCGCTGGGCCATCTTGCGCGCGCCCGCTGCCACGGCTCGAATGGCTTCTTGACGCTTCGCGCTGGGCTCGAGGCGGCGATCCTCGGCGCTGTAGCAACTGTGCTCCCACGTGGCAAAGACGTCCGACATGTCGGTGGCGCTGGTGTCGGCGCTGGCCGCGGCCTGCTTCAGCCAGGACGCGAACAGCGCGATGACGGCGAGGTCGGGCCGGTAGGGATCGCAATGGACAAAGTACTCCCTGATCGGCAAGTCGAGGGGCGGGAAGCCGTGCAGCACACCGGGGACGCCGGCAAGGACCGGGTCTCGCAGGGTCAGGGAGAGGCTAGGCCAAAACCTACGCAATTCCCAGACCTGATTGGCGGCAGAAGGGGATGGAAGGGGTTTCGGGTTTTTGCGGGAGTCAGCGTGGGGCCCTGAGGTGGCTGCCGATGGTGAACGCTTACCGCGCGGCTCTTGCCGGTCCCGCTGGACTGGACGATGGCGATGATCCTGCCACAGTATTGCTTCCCGACGTCCTTCTGCCTCGCACCGTAGTCGTAGAGGCTCGAGTAATAGACACGGATCCTTTTCTCGAGCCACAGAGCCGGTGTCTCCTTCGTACGGCCGATCGAAGCCCGAAGCGGCGCGACCGTAGCCTCCATCGCTGTAGAGGGGACGCGAAGGAAGCGGTTTGAAAGCACTCAGTGGGACACGTCAGACGAGGCGATGGGGGCGACGCTACAAGCTGCCAACAGAAGAGGCCACCCATCTGTCGGCGCCAGAAGCGAGAAAGATGGGCTTTCGGGTGGTACCTGTCGTGATAAGCGGATGAGGGTGAGCGCGAAGTCCGAGACCGACGAGGCGGGCGCATCAACGGGTCACTTACGGGCGATACCGCGACGGACAAGCCATTCAAGGAGGGCCGTGACGTCGTCCGGGTAGGTGAGCTGCTGCCATCGAGCCAGAAAGTATCGGGACAGCTCTTCCGCTCCGAGCGTTGGAAAGGGTGTGTCGTGCGAGTCGAAGAGGAGTTTGACAGGAGGCCCAAGTGGGTCGTCGCGTGGGAGAGGTCTCTGCTTGAAAAGCTTGTTCCGTCGAATAATGGTCAGAATGAGCGACAGGCATCCGTGGACGATTGCAGGATGACGAACGCCATCGTTGTTTGACTTTAGGATGGTGTTCAGCTGCTGTATATTTGCCTCGAGCGTCAGGACAGGGTTGCTTTCCATGACGATGTCGATGGCGGAGCGTATGGTGGCGGACGCGATGCTGGACCCATCGGAGGTTGTTGCGTCGTGCGACGAAACCGGGTCGTTGTGGTGCTTTCGGGCCCGAGAGGCGAGAGAGGAGGCACCGCGCGTAGGCACGATGTCGTCGTCCCGGCCGTGCGCAGCCATGATGGCGGCCGGGATGGAGCAGCGCTCGCGGGTGCGGGGAATGGGTGGGCGGATTGTCGGTGTATGCGTGCCTGCCCGCTCGAGGACGGCGGTGATAGGGAGAGAGACGGGCCAAGGAGGGTGCCCACACGATAGCGGCGCTGTGAGCGTCGCTGGACGTTGGTGATGGAGGCAACGGCGATGGTGGGGGGCGTTGGAGATGGTGTTGCTGGTGGCGGTGGTGGGAAGAAAAGAAAGAGACGCTTGCTGTCTCGGCCCTACTTGTAACCCACTCAAGGCGGAGAAAAGCAAGCTCCCTGCAGGGGGTCGCCCCTTGGTGCTCCAGCTCACCTCCGTCTCTTTCTTCATCACTTGCGCCATCAGGGCCACCTCCGTTTTCCATCTACGTCCCATTTCCAACCATCAACTCCTGCATGGCCACCCTCGCCAAGTCAAGCCGGCCCATACCACCTTTGTCGCCTCGCCTTGGTTGCAATCCTCACCCAGTCACCATGTGTCCGCCTCGCCTGCGTGCACTTTCTGACCGGCCTTGTCTGTATGCGTTCCTTTTTCGACCGAGGACACCAACCAGCTGGCCTCTGTACCTGCAGCTGTGTTGCACGCCACCAAGGTGAGCCGCCGAGGCACGCAGCAACCAGCAAGCTGGCCGTGTACCCGTGCTCGGCTGCCGTGCGGCGGCAAAGTCTGCCTGAGAGCAAGCTGGCAAAGCAAGCGAGGCTTGCCTGGCAAGCCGTTGTCTGCGCTGGGCCACCAGGCGGCGTGGCCCTGGACACCACGCCACTCGCTTGACAGCGGTGAGGCCTCAAAAGAAGCCGTGCCTAAGTTACCCTCTCCATCCGACCACTACCTTCGACCCATCCGGCCCTGCCCGTCAGGTGCTACAGGTGAGCCCCGGCCGATGCCCTCTCTTCTTGTCCCGCCCCATCTCCTTCCCGAACGCTACTCTCACGTAGCCCCTTCCCTCCCCCTGCCACTTGCCCAGGCACTCGGTTGCAAGTCAATCTTTGCTTTTACCGTGTTGACTGTGTCCAGGCACGCCAGAAGAGGCAAAAAAAGGCGTGGCCAAGACGGGGGCAGTCGCGAGACCTACGTAGGCAGCAGAAACCAGCGACACCGACATCCGCCCACACACACGCACCTGCACACTCTCTTGCGCCATCTCGACGCGGGCACCTCACGACGACGCCGACGGAACGGTTGTCAAGGAGCCAAAACGACGTTGCCGGGTCAATACGGCTAGAAACACAACAGAACACAATATACCAGCAGCTGCCGCGCTATCTTACAACACCGTGTGCAAAAGGGGGGATCCGTGATCGAACAGGCACAAAGAGAAAGAGAGATAGAGAGAGAGAGAGAGAGAGAGAGAGAGAGAGAGAGAGAGAGAGAGAGAGAGAGAGAGAGAGAGAGAGAGAGAGAGAGAGAGAAAGGCAGAGAGAGAGAAAGGCAGAGAGAGAGAAAGGCAGAGAGAGAGAAAGGCAGAGAGAGAGTATGTGTGCGTGTATCGCCAGAGGCATGGAGGGCGACAAAGGGGCAAAGGGACGGCTGCCAAGCGCAACAAAGGCAGGCGGTACGAAAGCAGCTCGCTCAAGGTCGACAGAGAGGCTGCGAGAGAGAGGCGCGTGCAAGAGAGAGAGAGAGAGAGAGAGAGAGAGCAGCGCCACGGCACTACAGCGTCGCCGCCCTGGCGCATGGAGGTGCCGCGCCGGGCACTACGACTGCTGGTCCTGGTCCGGGGCGCGAGAGGGCACCCGGTCCTCGGCCACGGAGCCAGCTCGGCTGCTGTGGTTGGAAAACTGCTCCCACATGTTGACCAGGTTGGTCGAGGGCCCAAAGTCGTATGCCTCGCCCGTCGTCGGCGGGGCAGAGTTGGTGCTCGACGCCCGCCCGCCCTCGAGCCGCTTGGCCGAGCGCTCCCGGTACTTGGCGCCCGAGTCGGGCGGCAGGTCCATCGACCGCCGACCGTCGCCACCGCCGCCGCTGTTGCCGTTGGGCCCTGGGCCAGACCCGCCCGCACCAAAGTGGTAGGCGAGGTTGTCCGTCGACACGGCCCGCGTCGCGGGCGTCATCGAGTGCTGCCCGACCAGCGACCGCGCGCGCGACCGCGTCCCCGTCACGGTGCCGCTGTGCGATCCCGACAGGGTGCCGAAGCGAAACCGGTTGGGGCTCGGCGCCCGCGACCGCGAAATCGTATAAAAGTCGCGCGGCTGCCGCACGCCCACCGACGGGTTGCCCGTACGATCCAGCAGCGCCTTGGCCGCTTCGTGGGCCTGCGGGTGGTCCGACTCGCGCCGCACCACCTCGTACTCGGACGGCGGCGTGCTGCTGAATGGCCCGTGGAGCGCCTTGTTGAGCAGCACCGACGACAGCCGCAGGCCGCGCCCGATGGCCCACGATACGAGGAACCCGACGACCCGCCTCTCGATCGAGTAGATGAGCGACGCAAACGGCACGATGCCCTCGATCGTCTCGCGCAGCCCCCACGTGTCCTCGTGTCGCACAATGAGCCCGGCGTCGTTGAACTCGAGCCGGCTCATGACGCGCAGCTGGATGCTGCACAGCGACTTGAGCGCCGCGCGCGGGTGGAAGAGGCCCCACAGGATGCTGCGGAACGTGTTGCGGCCCAGGCCCTCGGCGCTCCAGTGCGGCTGCAGCGACTCGGCGGGGATCGGTGGCCTCGCCAGGTGGCCCCCTGCCGCGTCGGCCTCGACAAATTGGCTCGACATCGTTGCCGGCAACGCTGACGAGGGCGCGTGTCCGGCACCGTCAAAGTCGTCGCCGTTGACGCTGGGCGGCGTTTGGGTAACGGCGTTGGCCGTGGTGCCGGAGAGCGGCCGGATCGACGATGTGGTTGGATGGCCCGGGGTGTGTGGCCGAGAGTTGCCCCAAGCACTGCTCATGCTGAAGGGCGTCATGGGACTGTGCGGGTAGCTGTAGCCGCTCTGGCCGCCGGGACGCCAAGACGCGCTGTGGCCGCCGTAGTCGGCGAACGGGTGCGGCGTGATGGGCACCGCCGAAAAGGGCAGCTGCGAGCCCGATGCTCCTCCGGGCGCTGCCGAGGCCACTGCCGTCGCCGAAAAGGGGCCTCTAGGCGTGCGGTTGGCGTCGTCGAGGTGCGCCTCGGGGTCGGCGGGCTCAGAAGAGCCAAAGAGCGAGGGGAAGAAGGTGACGGTGATGGTGTGGTCAATGATGCCGGCTCGCGTGCCGTCAAACTCAAAGTCGCTGCAGATGACGTCGCGCAGCTCGGACTGGACCTCCATGCCGGGCAGGGCAAAGGCCATCATGAACTGGTTCGCGATCTGGTCGCGGCCGTGGGCCGACAGCAGTGGGCTCTCGAAGACGGCGCCGCGCTCGTAGTACCTCCAGACCATCTCGCGCACCTCTTCCGGGCTGCGCTTTCCGGCGTACAGGGTGGCATGGAGGCCGAGGATGTTGTCGGTGAGCGTGCTGGGGCTGGGCGGGCCTGCGCTAAAGCCAAAGGCGCTGTGGGTGCCGTCGGCGCCAGGGTGCATCGAGCCGGGATCGCCGAGGCTAAGGCTCATCGACATCGGACGGGCGCCGTCGTGGGCCGGGTTGCCAGTGGAGCTGAGATTGCGGGCGTGGCCGCGCATGGCGATGCCGCCGGTGCCGGGGGTGCGAGGATGCGAGGCGGCACCCGCAAAGTACGACTCCGAGTGCGGCCCTGGCTGGCGCGGGTGGTGCTGAGCGGTGTGATGCTGCTGGTGCTGATGCTGGTGCTGATGCTGATGCTGGTGCTGATGCTGCTGCTGCTGCTGCTGCTGCTGCTGTTGCTTTTCCTCCTTGGCCGCTGCACTGGCGGAGGTATGCCGCTTGTGTTGGGAGGGGCCTTCGTCTCGGGATCGCGGTATGTCGATGCGCATGTTGCTTTCTGTCGAGGTAAAGTCAAAGGCCGATGGGGCCGCTCCGGGAAAGGGTACCGGGCCGGACATGGAGCGTCTGTGACCTGCTCTAGGCGGCTGCGTCAAGATCCCTTGCGGACGGAGCAGCCCTCGATGCAGAGGAGCAAATGCCGGGCAGGACTGGTGCGGTCGCCGCTGGTACTTCTATCGAGGCGCGAATTGGTAGGCAGGCAGGCTCGGAGGCGGGCTGTCTTGGATCGATGGCCAGATGCGCCTCTTGCGTGCTTGTTGCGGCTGCGGTGATGGCTTACGGTGCGAGCGCGAGTGCGAGACGCCTGGCGAGGGGAAGCGCAAAGTCGAGCGTCGGTCTCGTGTGCCAGCACTTGAGCGTGGCAGGTCGAGGTGTTTGGCTTCGTGGGCTGGCGAAGATAGCGGTCGTCTAGTTGAGCCGTGTTGGAAGGCTGCGGAGATTCGCGGACCGGCGAGATGTTCGACGGGCCGTACCGATAGAGAGCAGCTGGAGGCCGAGGAGATTGTCCGGGCTGGTGGTGATGATGCTGAGGTGGGTGGGCTGGACGGCGGGGTCGTGTCGGGATTTGGCTTGGACGGGCCAATTCAGACGGGGAAAGAAGTTGAGAGAGCAGTGAGGTTGACGATGGTGCCGCTGTGGGCTGGTAGGTAGAGCGAGATGGTGGTGGTGATGGTGACAGGGAGGACGAGGAGGAGGCGGTAGGGTGTGGTCGAGTTGTGTGTCGGCGTCGTGGGCGGCTGATTTCTGAAAGCGGACCACCGCACCGATTGGCGGCCCCACGCTCGCTCGTCAGGGCTCGCCTTCCCCGGGGCCCGCACGCCTGCCTGCCTGCCTGCCTGCCTGCTTTCACGCTGGCCGACCCGCCGCGTCATCACCGCCCACCACCACGCCCACCCCGTCAGCCAGCTAGCCCGCACCGGCGTCGGTACTGTATCGCTTTCGCTGCGCTGCCCGTCCATGCCGGCTGGCTGCTCCTGCCGCCTGAGCTGGCAAACCCCGACGACAGACTTCACGGTCGAATGCAGCAACCAACATCGACCCGCTGCCTGGGCATGCCAGGTCCCCGTTCCGGGCATGACGGCGCGGGAGGCAGGCCCAGCACGCCAGAGGCCTGCCTGCCTGCCGCGTTTGGTACCGGCACGCATGTTGGGGCAGGCCCACGATACAGTACCGAGGGAGAGCTGGCGGGCGCTCCCATCATCGCCCTTCACACCGTGAAAAGGGCAGTAGTCTTGGAGGCAGCGACGACGCCACGCCTTAACCCCGCACCGCAACCTCTGTCGCAGATCGTCCGCGACGCCACCGTTTTCCAGGGCAGCCTGCAAGCCAAGTGCAGGCCCACTACCCCAGCCTGCGATAGACTGCGCTGCCCAGCCGGGCTTCGGGCGGCACGTTGCGATGCGGCGTTGTTGTGGCGACAAGAGGTAGGCCTGGCAGAAGGCGAACTAGTGCGGCCCGGCGACCAAGAGGCAGGGCTGGCCGCGAGCAGCGTGAAAGGGTCCAAGGTTGCGGCTCCCGGTGACTGGCCAACCCTCGCTGTTGGGGGTCGGCCTGCCTCACTCCAGCTTCCACGTCGATCCATCCGCTTTATCGCGGGCTGGGCTAGGCTGACTGGCCCTGCACTCGAGGTCGAGTGACAGACAGGCCACGGCCAGGCGGGGCATCCTTTAGCAGCAGAGCCAGCAAAAGCCTCCGCTGCTGCTGCTGCTGCTGCTGCTGCTGCTGCTGCTGACGTCGTCGCCGCTGCAAAGGCCCGCCGCAGGGTGTCGCGCCTCCCGCGCAGGCTAGGCCAAACCAGGCCAAGCTGGGCATCGGGGGGCGGGCAGGCCTGGCCATCGCAACCCGTCATCGGCCACGGCGTTTCGAATCGGCGCTCGTCCCGGCCGAGCGAGCGAAAAGGCCTCAGGGTCCAGGATGTCAGGCAACGCCGAGCCTCTCGAGGCCGGGCCCGCTCCCCTCGCCACCCCGACAAAGGGCCGCCCCGTCATCTCAGCTTCCCTTTGATGGCGGCGACGAACACAGCCTGCCTCCATCGTGTTCGTCCATATTCTGCATGACCACCGTCCAGCTGCTACGCACGCTGCCCGCTTGCACAGCCTCGAGCGACCGGCACCGGCGATCAGGACCCAAACGCCGCCGGCAGAGGTGATATGTCTCGATGGGCCGCGCCGATTCCATCTCGCCTTGGCTTGCTTCTCGACGCGCCGCTGCGGCCCGCTTCTCTCGGTGTCATGCCTCTTCTGGGATCGCAGCCGCAATGGACTGCTGCTGCCACGTCGTAGATGTTGTTGTCCGCACGACATGCAGCAGCAGCCTACCGTGGCCACCTCATTTGACCCCTGCCTCGGCGTAGCGGCGCTGCCGTCACATGCTGCACGCTGATGCCCAATCGCCCGCTTTGATGCCAAATCCAGGCCGCCGAGCTGGGCGAGCTATGAATCGGAGCTTCGCTCCGGGCGAGCATGGCTGTCATCTTGCCAAACTAGATCCTGACTCAAGTTTGGGGAACCCAGCACACGGCGTCCTCCCTGGGTTGCCATCCGCAGCGGGCTTCGAGGGGCGACAGGAAGGATCTCTCGTCGGAGCGCCGGTAAATATCCATCGCCCTGTCTCGCTCCTTTCTCCTCCTCTTCCTTCTTCTTCCATCCAAGCGTCCAGACGTTGGCCACACACTCACTTTCTCTTCCCTTTTCTTCCTTCACCTCGCCAGGCCCGTTGATCCGGACACCGGCGACGCCCTCTTTTCTCCTTTACTTCACCACCAACGTCGGCTGGGTCCGACAAAACCATTTGGCATCCGCACCAGGAGACTGGATCTCTCCGAACGACACTCTTTCGAACACTTCATAGGCACCGCGCCTTTTTGCCTCGGACTTTTCAGTAGATAGCATCAGTGCTGGGCACTGAACACCGGGAGCCACCGACCCAACCACAATTCCACCGGCTCGGCAACTACAGGCCACCCACAGGCGTCTCGGCGACAGGACCTACGATGAAGCTGCTACCACTGGCGCTCACGGCGCTCGCCACGATGGCGACGACGGCGACCGCGATACCGGGCTACGACGACGTGCCCTTCCACCTCTCGCGGAGCGCCAATGCCGTGCCGGGGCCATCGAGCCTCGCGCCAACCCCATCGTCTTCGGGGTCCTATGCGCGTAGCTCGCAGGGACCTGGGACAGCACGCGCATCGTCTGCGCCCGGAAGGAGGAGCGGCGCCGGCGCCGGCGCCGCACTTGAACCCCAACCACCGGCGGTCGGGAGGACGACGGCGTCCGTCTGGGACATTCTCGGGGGCCGTAGACGGAGGGCAGTCCGTTCGGGGCAACCGAGGGCGGAACAGAGGTCGCCTTCCTTTTCGACCATGATCGAGATGGTGGACCCGGGGACACGGAGCAAGGGCAAGGGAAAGGCCAGAGCGACGGAGTCTGACGTCGTCGGCGGCGGCCGGAGGACGAAGCGTGCCAAGACGTGCAAACGTCAGGATGGGGCAGGCGGGAAGGGCAGCGCAACGGGCGGCGCATCGTCCGGTGCTGGAAGTGCAACCGCGTCGGGGATCGTCGCTGCGCCAACGGCTACGGCCAGCGCAAAACCCGGCGCGACCAACACCAACACCACCACCACCACCAACACCACCACCACCGACGGCGACAAGACAGTCGACACCGGCAAAGTGATGGCTGGCTACTGGCCGGACTGGTCCAGCTCGAGCCTGCCGCCGGAGAAGATTGACTTCTCCAAGTTTGACTTCATCAACTACGCCTTTGCGCTGCCGACGCAGGACTTCAACCTCAACTTTCCGACCGACAACACCAAGGGCCTGCTGAAGCGGCTCGTGACGGCGGCGCACGGCGCCCAGTCCAAGGTGGTGCTGTCGATCGGCGGGTGGGGAGGCTCGACGTACTTCAGCCCGGCCGTCAAGACGAGCGCGTCGCGCTCCAAGTTCATCGCCAACATCAAGGGGGTCTACGACCAGTACCAGCTCGACGGGATCGACCTGGACTGGGAGTACCCGGGGCAGGGCAACGAGGGCAACCAGTACGATCCGCAGGACACGATGAACTTCCAGACGTTCCTGCAGGAGCTGCGCGCCGCCCTGCCCCAGGGCGCCATCCTCTCGGCGGCGGTGTCGCACCAGCCCTGGATCGCCAGCACGGGGCAGCCCGTGACGAGCGTGGAGCGGGCCGCGAGCGCGCTCGACTACGTCCTCATCATGAACTACGACGTGTGGGGGTCATCGGGCAACCCGGGCGCCAATGCGCCGCTGGCCGACCTGTGCGGCAACTCGAGCCAGCCCAGCGCCAATGCGGCGGCGGGCGTCAAGCAGTGGGCGTCGGCGGGCATGCCGAGGGAAAAGATCCTGCTCGGCATCCCGTCGTACGGCTACATCAACTCGTCGAGCCGGCGCAAGCTCAAGGCGCGCAGCGACAACTCGCTCCGGGCCAAGACGCTGGCCATCCGGGATGCCAGCCCGTCCAAGGGCGCCACGACGCCGCCCGGATACGTCGCGGCGCCGGAGCGGGATGAGGGGAGCCTGCTCGAGCTACGAAGCGACGTGCCCTCTGGCAGGGTCGGTCGCTACGACGCTCGCCGGCTGCCCTCCTCGGGGTCTTCCTCGACCGCCCCCGCCCTCTCGCGGCGCGGCACGCTCACCTCGAGCGACGGCTCGACGAGCTCTGGCCAGATCAACTTCAACCAGCTCGTCAAGCAGGGCGCGCTGACAAAGGACAAGTCGACGGGCCTGTTTGTCGCGGCGGGGGGTTACCAAAAGTACTGGGACGACTGCTCCGACACGCCGTACCTCGCCAACGGCCAGACGGTCGTCACCTACGACGACACTTCGTCGCTGTGGGACAAGGGCGCCTTTGCGGTGCAGGCCGGTATCGGCGGCCTCAACATCTGGAGCATCGACGGAGACACCGATGGCTGGGACCTGGTCAATTCGGCGATTGCCGGTATGTCCCAAGCCTGAGCTGACCGCCGCTCATGCTCCGTTGCGTGCATGGACGCCGAAGACGGTCTTTCGCCATCTTCGATTGTCGTTGCTCGCACGCACGCACCGCAAGAAGCTCGTCCCCTTGTTGCAACACCGAACCCTCCTCCTGGCGCTTCCCACGCTCCGATCGAGCTGAGCCGGCAACCTTGATCTCACCCGGCCACTTACATATGCCGCTCGACCGCCTCCCCTTCATTGCGGCGCAGGCGAGAACGGCATCCCTCCCCCGCCATCTCCCCCCTCCATCTTGTGCTTACCCTGCTCCACCAACTTGTAGAGATCCCGCCTCGTCTTGCCAGTCTGTCTGTAGCCAGCCCGCCCGTTTCTGCCGGGACCGTAGCAATACGAGTAGGATTGTGCGTTGTGTCCGTCCACTCCCATCACATTCCCTCTGTGTGTGCCGTCTGCTGCGTCGTTGCAGGAGCTGTTTCGTCCTGCGCCCCTACCATGCATGCACATACGGTTGCTGTGACGGTCTCGGTTGCCTTGGGGTGCAACTTTCAGCGTTCGGCGCACAAAGGCCCGGGACGCTCGTCGCCGCCGTCTTCGCCGGTCCGATGGACCCCCCACATCACATGCACCACGCCCCGATGTTCCGAACAAGGTCCGGTCGTCCCTCGCTCGCTGGTCGAGCCGATAGACACAAGCTCGACCTCCTTGCCCACGGAGCGAAAGAAAATGTATGTACCTATGCTCTAAGCTCAACCCCGCTCTCTCTCTTCTTCATTGCCACCAGATCCCGATGGCTACCGAAGATCGAGGTGTGGCGCCCTTGCCTTGCCGAATGCAACCTTGTTCTCGACTTCGACGTAAACGGCGGCGAACAGGATGTCCTCGACAGATGTACGTCCCCGCGGAACCGTCGTTGCCCCCGTCCGGCGAATACGGTCAACCTCGGCATGTACGGCGGTCCGCGCGGGCGGGCCTGCTTGCATCCCGGTCTCGACCGCCACATCACCGTCCGCGGTCCATGTCGCAATCGAGTCTGGCTGGAGCCGCGACTACCGCTCGGCAGCAAGACGGAGAGATGGACACCGCCGCGAGGAACTTGGCTGGCAAGGGCTTCGGATCTCTTCGTCACCCCTCATTGTTCCCAGCGATGCTCGGGGCTGCGGCAATGCGGACGACGACGACGGCGGGCGGCGTCTTACGCGTTCAGGCGGCGCAGGGGACTGGGCCTACCTGGCTCCTCAGTGCTGCCTCGATCAGCTTGACCGATGGTGCGGTGCCGTCCGGGTGGGCAAAAGGTGGACCTAGAGCATACCGCGATGTGCTCTCTGCTGCAGCAGTGGTGTACGCAACGGGGTCGATGGTGTCCCATCGATGCATGGTCGCCGTCGAGGTCGATCGAGGACATGTATAAGCCCCTCGAGATCATTCGCCCATGCTGGTCTGTCCCGCACCGCAAGACATCTTCCCAACCCCCTCCTGCTCGACCCAAGCCTCGTACTGGTAGGAAGACCGCCAAGATGCCAGTCGCCACCACCCCTTTCCCTGCCGCCGCTGCCGCCGCGGCCGCACTGCCCATCGCCATCCTCCCCTCGCCGTCGGAGTGCGTGCTGGACCCGCTGCCCCTGGCCAAGCACCTCCGCCACCTGCTGCCCAACCTGCACCTGCAGTCGACGCCGACGTCCGAGACGAGGGGGCTCATCTACCTGCCCAAGATGACCGATGCCGAGGCCCACGTCCGCCTCCGCACCGTCCTCAAGATGTACCCGCACATCGAGTGGGTCCAGCTCCCCATGTCCGGCGTCGACGCCTACCTCGACCTGATCCGCGAGCGCCCGGATAGGATCTGGTGTTCTGGAAAGGTGCGTGCATCCTCCCGTTCCCTCCCTGACTTCCGCGCCTGCCTCGGTCTTCCACCCCCGTCCCCGTCCCCGCCTCCGCGCCCTCGCAATTGCATACCGGTAGAACGACAGAAGCTGATGCCGATGCCTATGCCGGTGCTCCAACTTGGCTGCTCGGCGCCGTGCCGTCAACAGGGAACGGCAGGCGCGCTCGTGGCCGAGCATGCCCTCGCGCTGATCCTCTCGCTCCTCCGACGCATCCCGCAGCGCGTCGCGGCCCAATCCTGGGGCCCCAAGCTGGGCTTGACGCTGCTGGGGAAGCACATCGTCGTCGTCGGCTACGGAGCGGCGGCCAGGGCGTTCATCGAGCTGGTCCGTCCGTTCCGATGCCGCATCTCGGTAGTCCGACGTCGAGTCGGCATGGATCGACGCCAAGATGACAGCGACAGCAGCGACGGTACCAGCGACGCGTCCGGGCGCGATGGCATCGGGGGCGACGGCGATTGTGTGGCTCCGCCGACGTTCTACCACGTCGCGTCGCTCCACGAGGCGCTGGCTGAGGCCGACATCGTCGTCCTGGCCCTGGCGCTGACACCGTCCAACCGCCGCCTGTTTGGCCGGGCCGAGCTCGACGCCATGAGACCCGGGTCGGTGCTCATCAACGTCAGCCGCGGCCAGCTCGTCGATACCGATGCCCTCGTCGAGACCGTCGAGCGGGGACGACTTGGCGGGGTGGGCATCGACGTCGTCGAGCCGGAACCCCTGCCTCCGAGCCACCCGCTCTGGCACCTCATGCAGTCTGGCCAGCGCCATGAGGGCGGCACTACCCCGCTCATCGTCACACCGCACTCGGCCGTCACGCCCCAGCTCATCGAGCCTTTCCTGCGCGAGCGCATCTCGAGGAACGCTCGCGCCTTTGTCAACGGCGCTGACATGGACGGCGTCGTCGACCCGGCGACGGGCTACTGACCGACGGTGTGCCGCCGCGCGTCCCTCATCACGCCTCCGTTGTTCGATAGTCATTCGATAGGTTTGATTGCAACGAGGTTGGCTCTCGATCCCGAGACCATCGCCCTTCTAATCTGCGCGCGTGCCGGCTCACTTTTTCCGCTCCGATGATCTCGACTGCACTGGCAGCCCGACGGTCTTGGTCCGTGGGCCGCGGAACGCGCTGAACCGGCCCCAACGCGGCGTCTCGTCGTCCGTCGACGGCGATGTGTCGTAGACGGTTCCCTGGGGTGCCTGCCATCCCTCTTCGAGCAGCCAGCGGTAGGCCAGCGGGATCTCGATGCCCAGCGCCCGCATGTGCTTGAGCAGCACCAGCAGGAACGCTTTCGGCGGTCGGTCGGTCCACCGTCCTCGCGAATTCATGAGCCGCCTGAACGGCGCGACGCCGGTGGCGGCGAGATCGGCAGAGGTCGACGTGGGCTGCAAAGGCGCCGGTTTGGCACCGCTTGCGGCGACAGCGACATCGGCACGAGTTTCCGTCGCAACGGTGGCCCGGAGCGCCTGTCTCTTCCCGTCCCTCTCCGCCTTGGCCTTTCGCGTTCGATGGATCCAGTCGGATCGCGATCGATACGTCGGCGTGCGGCCGCGCATGCCAGCCCGCCGGCCAAAGAGGTCGAGGAGCGCATCGTAGAAGCGCGAGTCGGGGACCCGCACCGAGCCGTCCGAGGGTAGAACGACGGGACCGGGGCACTTCTGCGCTGCGGTGGCCTTGGCGAGAGGTGCGGCCAGGTTCCACCTCTCGAGCAGGCGCCAGTACTCGTGCATCGCCACGAGCCGGGCGGCCTGACAGCGGAGCATGGATCCGGCGCCTCGACCAGCCTGCGGGATGCTCGAGTCGAGCGCCCACCCGACGGCATAGATCTGGCGGCTTCCTGGGCTGGCGCCGAAGTAGCGCGGCGGTCGGCGCCGCTGAAAGCTGCGCGCACGGCCACGGGGGACAAAGACCTTCATCGACTTGCGGCCCTCGGCGGCGAGGGTCTGGAAGAGGATCGTGGCCGCCTCGGTCGGCACCATCCAGGGCTTTTCCGACACTTGGCGCCGTGTCACCTGGCTCTGGCGGCTAAAGTGCCGGATCATGCGCCAGATGCGCAACGCCAGACCCGTCTTGCCCGCCTTGGCTACGAGGTTGAGCACGGCGGTGAGCACATGAGGCTCGTAGATCGCAAAACGGCTCTGCCTGCCAATTCGAGGTCGCAGCGATGCCGCGTCCCAGTCCGCATGGGCCTGAGGTTGCTTGGTGTCTGTCGCGCCGGCGTTGGCTGCTGGTGGCGGCTTGGGGCTCTTGCGCGACCGCTCGACGAGCCTGGGATAGACGCGCGCGACTAGATCGCGGATGCTGATGTAGGAAGGCTGGCCGCGGTGACGGCGCAGGAACGACCCAGACGAGGCCACCAGAGAGATCAGCGCGTGAAGGCGGTAGGAGTCGGCCCTCCTAATTGCGTCATCGATGCTGCTGAGCATCGTCTGATTCTCGGCCCGGCGGCTCGAAGACGTGCTGGATGCCGGAGCCGCTGATCGAGGTGAGGAGGGTACGGCAGGGGCAGCCACACCGTCGGGAGGAGTGCCATGGCTGGCCACCCGAGGTGCCTGAGGAGCGGCAGGCGGAGCTTGCGCGGCACCTCGGGCCTGTCGGGCCGAAACGGCGAGGATGGAATTGGCGAGGCCATGGAGCCGGTTGATGGTGGCCTGTCGCAGCATCGTGTTGATCGTGACGTGGTCTGGTTCAAGGCCGTCTCTGTCGCGGGACGCCATCAGGTGGGCAAAGACGACGTGGCAGAGCTCGGTCGAGCGCAGCACCTTGAGGCAGTAGAAGAGGAGCTGGTTGTACGATGACATCGATAGTTTTGGCGGTGCTCGTCCTGCCACGGTGTTCCTTTTCGGTGGTCTCGGCTGGCCCTTGACGCCGTCAAAGTCTTCAGAGGCGAGCTGACGGATGAAGGATCGCATGCAGCCGCGTATCGCTTTGCCGATCTTCTTGCGTGCCACGGACTCGGCTGCTGCACTGTCTGCTGCCGAGCCCGCCTTCGGCTTCAAGTGTTGCGAGGCCCTATCATAGCGACAGGCAGCCGAGATGATCCAAGCGATCTCGGCGCTGTTGTCGGGAGGAAGCATCGTCATGGGTGGGCTCACGAGGAGCTGGCACAGCGACAGCAGCGCCTCCCCGTACTCGATCGAGACAGGCCGGCCGCTGATCTGGGGTCCAGGAGCAGCGGGCGAAGCCAACACCGCCTCGAGGCGGGCAAGGTCCCGCTGGATGGCGTGAAGCAAAGCCCCGCTCGGCCTGCTGCGCTCGAGCGCGACCGACATGGGGTCTGCTTGCGATGGTCGACGGTGTCCTGCGGCCGCCGAAGTCTCGTAGACGTTCCACCAGGCGCGCAGCTCGGTGGCGTATACGCGTGCTGCTTTGAGGCGCTGCCGGTCCCGGAGCAGCCATTGTATGAGCGCCAGCTGGCTGGCGGAGGTGCGAGGCACTCGAAAATGCCGCAACACCTCCCAGAGATGCAATGCCGACTCCCTATGTGCTTCGTTGGGGGATCCTGGCGCAGGCCGAGGTCGACGATCGACTCCGCGCGCCGTGAGCTGGACCATGAGCCGCTCGCAAAGCGAGGCGATTGCCTCGACCGCGCGGACATCCATGGTCGCAGATGGCTTGGTGGGCTGTGCAACCTGTCCCGATCCTGGCCTCTGATTTTCCCCATTTTGTCGCCCTTTGATGTCGGACGCCGGTGTCCATCCTATCCGTATCAAAGATGCCGAGAGGAGCTTGGCAGCTGTCGATGAGTCGCCGGCCAGCATAGCTGCTTGCACGTCCGGAAGCAGCCTCTCCTCCGTCATTGAATCGCTGGAACCGCTCTGCTGCAATTCAGCGGCCTCGCTCGGTCGAAGATCGACCTTGACGCCGGTCTTGTGTCCTGACAATGATGAGTCGAGCCCTGCGTGCGCCACGAGCTGAGCGGAATCGGCGCTGCTCTTCTTCTTTCCTGTTCGGCGCTTGGGGCTCGCTGTTCGCGTCTCATCCGTGAGTCGGGATACATCGTTCGGCTGCTGCTCCTGCTGCTGTTCCTGATTCGCAGGCTGATCGGAGGCGGTCGAATCGGATCTGGCAGCGGATTGTGACCGGTGCGTGGGTGGAAAGGAAGCATCGTAGAACGAGAGGCTCGAGTGCTGGCGGATCTGGGAGACAGCGCGGCGGCCATCGAGATTGCTTGAAAGTGCAGTGCCGCAGGATGCTGGCCGGCGAGAGATGCTTGGAGGATAAAGGAAGTCGAGGTGCCGCGCAGTTCGAGCCTGCAAGGACGGAGACCGCGCCGACGAAGGTGCCACAGGCGACGCCGCAAGAGGCGGGCCTGCAACAGAGCGACCCGATGCAGGGCTCTCGAGACAGCCGGGGAAGCGCGAGGGGCCCGGTCCAGCTAGAGCCGGGTTGAGCTGTGCGCAGAGAGGCGGTGCCAGTTGCCGCGAAGCGTTTGAGGCGCTCGAGAGGATGCGGCGAGGTTGCATGGGCGAGCCATCGGAGAACTTTGAGCCTCGACCGACAACTAAGGGGCAGGTGGTGGTCGAGATGAGCCGAGGCGAGTCGTGCAGGCCAGAGCAGTGCGAGGCGAAGCCAAGCAGGGCAGAGCAGAGCGACGAAGCGCAGACGAGGCTTGAGTATCGACGACGGCTGCGTCCGATTGTGGCGGCCCGAGCGGGCAGTGCTCACCGACGACCGTGCCCCAAAGCGCTGGCGCTACCTGCTCTGCGCGCTATGCGAAGGAGAGCTGGAGGACGGCGGTAGCAGCGTGAGAGCGAAGCATGAAAGGAGAGGTCCGCGCTTGATGTCCGACGGGGATATAGACAGATGATGCGTGCCAAGGGGCGACCGGCCGTTGAACGACCCACGACGCTGCTGGGACGTTCTGTGGGGACGTCGTCAGGAGTGCAGGGCGATACGAGGTCGAGCAAGGAGGGGTTGGGGCGAAGCAACCAGGGCCAATCGCGTCGAGGAGACAGGGGAGTTAGTAGTGGGGCGGCTGCAGAGTCTAGGGAGGGCGAGGGGTCTGCGGCCTGGTGTTGATGGCGATGGACAAGGAAGGCACGAGGCGAGCCTGGTGTCGGAGCAGCGGCCTAGGGGAGGAGAGCGAGCGAGGTGGTCAAGTGGTCGAGGGCGTTGGAGGAACCTCGAATGGTTGGCTGGTTGATCGACGATTGCCAGCTGTGGTCTCCGTCACACTGGACGCTCGAGGCAGGCAACCCGGCGAGGGAGGACCGGGCCAACCAAAAAGGGACCCCCCCCGCGCGCAAAACCACGCCGGTTTCTTCTCAAGTGCCCTTGCCGTCCGGAGCCGACAGGCAGGGTTATGATGGGTGGGCCTGCCTGACGACCCTTTCATCTCTTCTGTCAGGATCACGTCAGCTGACCGACTTGGCTGCTCGGGTCTCGGAGACCCCCCAAGACACTTCAGGGTCGGGCGGGATGCAAATTTTTGCTCGCCAGCCGCCAAAAAATTTGCGGGCGCAGCAGCTATGAGAGAGAGGGCGAGCACAGAGACGCGCGCCACGCCTGCCTTGGTCCGGCCTGCCCGAGGGGTGCCAACACCTCTCACGCCCAGAGCCCGGCGACAGGGCCTGCCGAGAGCGAAGGGGCTGGGCGTAGATGTCCAAGAGGGGCGAGCTGAGAGGCGCCACGCCGAAAAATCTTCCTCGCCGCCAGCTGCCTGGCGGCGAGGTGAGCATAATTTTCTTCGGGGCAGCACGCCCTCTGGGGTCCGCCGAAGTTGGCAGCCGGCAGGCAGGCAGGCTACCTACGCCTGGTGGCAAGCGCGGTCGGTACAAGGGGCCCACACCTTCGACCCGTCCCCTCTTCCTTCCGGACCACCAACCCTTCCCCCTCCCTCTCTCCGTCCCATCCATCCCTGTCTCCTTCTCTCTTTGCCCCGTCCTTTCCCTACCACCTCCTCACTCCAATCCCCACTACATCCACCACCATGGGCAAGAAGGACAAGTCTGTCAAGCCCGTCGAGGCTGTTGCCCCTGCCGGCAAGGCCGACGCCAAGGCCGCCAAGAAGGCCTCGAAGAAGGCCGCCAAGAAGGAGCCCACCCCTCCCCCCGTCGAGAGCAGCAGCAGCAGCAGCGAAGACGACAGCAGCGACGACTCCGACTCGGACGACAGCAGCGACGACGAGGTTTGTATCTGTTCCCCCACTGGCTGTCTCGCGATGGGCTGCTCCAGTGAGAACCTTCTTCAGTGCTGACAGACCGCCGCGCATTCCCTACACGTCTCTTTTTCCTGCCCTGCTTCCTGCGCTGAAACAGGAGGAGAAGCCCGCCGCCGCCGCCGCCGCCGCCGCCGCCAAGAAGGACGAGTCTTCTGACTCTTCTGACTCGGACTCGTCCGACTCGTCTGACGACGAGGACGACGAGGAGGAGGTCAAGAAGGAGGTCGCCCCCGTCGCCAACGGCACCAAGGCCGACTCGACTGGTGAGTGTTGCTCAGGCGCTCTAGAGCGTACCTTGCCCCACTTCTACGCCTGCGCACATGACTGACACGGCACCGATCCCTCTTCCGCATTCCCCTCTTACCCCAACGCAGAGTCGTCCGACTCGGACTCTGACTCTGACTCGGACTCGGACTCGAGCAGCACCTCTGGCACCGACGACTCCGACGACGACGAGGAGGACAAGGCGGCCGACAGCAAGAAGCGCAAGGCGGACGACGAGGCGCCCGCCGCCAAGAAGGCAAAGACCGAGGAGGCGGCCGGCGACGAGAACGAGACGTGCTCGATCTGGGTCGGCCAGCTCAGCTGGAACGTCGACAACGAGTGGCTCAAGAGCGAGTTTGAGGCGTACGGCGAGGTGACCAACGCGCGCGTCCAGCTCGACCGGGACAGCGGCAAGAGCCGCGGCTTTGGCTACGTCGACTTCGCCACGCCCGCCGCCGCCAAGAAGGCGTTCGAGGAGGCGCAGGGCAAGGAGGTCGACGGCCGCAACATCAAGGTCGACCTGAGCCAGCCCAAGCCCGCCGCCGACCGCCAGCAGGACCGCCAGAAGAAGTTCAACGACGAGCGGAGCGCGCCGTCGTCGACGCTCTTTGTGGGCAACCTGGCGTTCTCGGTGTCCGAGGACGACGTGTGGAACACTTTCGCCGAGTACGGCGAGGTCTCCGGCGTGCGCCTGCCCAAGGACCCGGAGAGCAACCGGCCCAAGGGCTTTGGCTACGTCGAGTTCTCGACGCAGGAGAGCGCCCAGAAGGCCATCGAGGCCCTCACTGGCTTTGAGCTGTCGGGCCGCCCGCTGCGCCTCGACTTTTCGCAGCCGCGGAGCAACGATGGCGGCCGTGGCGGTGGACGCGGCGGTGCGCGCGGCGGCCGCGGTGGCTTTGACCGCGGTGGCCGTGGCGGCGGACGCGGTGGCTTCGGCGGCCGTGGTGGCGGCCGCGGCGGCGGAGACGGAAGCTTCCGCGGTACCCCTCGTGGCGGCGGATGGGGTGCGCGCGGCGGCGGCCGTGGTGGCGCACGAACCGGCGCTGCCCAGGAGCCCGCCGGCAAGAAGATCTCGTTGACTAGAGAGGGGCGCCACGCCTCCTTGCGTTGATACGCTTGACGTTCTTGTTGTCTTAGACTGCCTGCCTGCCCAACTGTCCCCTCAGCCACCTTGACCCCACCAACCCCAAAAGCGCCGGGATACCCTTCCCTCGTCGTCGAACCATCTGTACATGATTATTGCATCCGTTTTGCCAGTGCGGCTCACCTAGTCGACGGCGGCGCTGACCCGTTGGGGCGCAAACGGGCGCGCCCATTGTCACCGGGAATCCATCCTCTCTCGCTCTCTATCGAAGATTGTCGTGTGTGTGTGTGTGGCGCTGACCTGACTGGCTGCGTTTGAGTGGGGTCAGTGGAGAATGCTGAAAGCCAGACTGCGACCCGAACCTTCGT